TTTCCTGGCTTTTCCTGAATCTTGGAGAAATTTATTGAATTTTAGAGAAATTTCCTGGTTTCTCCAGAATCTTGGAGAAATTTCCTGGTTTCTCCTGAATTTTAGAGGAATTTCCTGGTAACATTACTGTTACTACTACATTTATTCTTATTTTATTTTTTATCACATTATTTTTACTCTATCATTTTTAATTCTATTTTATTTTTTTATCACATTTAAATATTCTATGTATTTTTGGAAATAGATTAGTGTTAGTATTATTTTCATTATTTTCATTATTATTATTCATTATTATTATTCAGTATCATAATTATTATATTTTTTCTTTTCATTATTAATATTTTAATTGCCAATTATTTGTTCCTATCACTACTAAATTTATTCTTGTTTTATATCATTAGTTCTACTCTATTATTTTTATTTATTCTTCTATTTTTATCACATTAATCTATTTTATTTTTTTTATTCTATTATTTTCAGCCATAACCCACAGACACCAGAGCTGGGCCCCGCTTAACGCAGCTGCGTTTAAACCTTCCGGAATCCTTTTGGAAGCAGACCACGGAATTCGGGGCTGATTTTTCCACATTTCGCACCAAAACCCGACAGAAAACCATTCCGGGCTGGATTTTTCCCCAAATTTTTTTGTTTTTTGGTCGAAAAGATTCCGAATTTGGGCCGTGCTGAGATGTCCTCAGCATCTTACTGGGCAGCATTGGATGATCCACGCCGCTCTAATACTGCCTGGTAATGATGATGAAGGCTCTTCCCGAGCGCCGCGCCCGCAGCCTCCCCGCCCACCCAAGCCCGGCCTAAACCCGGCTAAACCTGGGCTAAACCCGGGCTAAACTCACCTAAACCCGGCCTAAACCCGCCTAAACCCGCCTATACCCACCTAAACCCGCCTAAACCCGGGCTAAACCCGGCTAAACCCGGGCTAAACCCGGCTAAACCCGCCTATACCCACCTAAACCCACCTAAACCCGCCTAAACCGGGGCTAAACCCGGGCTAAACCCGCCTATACCCGCCTAAGCCTGGCCTAAACCCGGGCTAAACCCGGCTAAACCCGCCTATACCCGCCTAAGCCTGGCCTAAACCCGGGTTAAACCTGCCTAAACCCGGGCTAAACCCGCCTAAACCCGGGCTAAACCCGCCTAAACCCAGGCTAAACCTGGCCTAAACCCACCTAAACCCGGGCTAAACTAAACCCGGGCTAAACCCGCCGAAACCCGCCTAAACCCGGGCTAAACTAAACCCGGGCTAAACCCGCCTAAACCCAGGTTAAACCCGGGCTAAACTAAACCCGGGCTAAACCCGCCTAAACCCGGGCTAAACTAAACCCGGGCTAAACCCGCCTAAACCCGCCTAAGCAACCCCGCCTTGCACCGCCGAGGTGAGCCCGGATCAACACCCGAGCTCTGAGCTCCAGGCGGGTTTAACATTGGGACATCCGAGTTCTCACGGAGGAAATCCCCGCCTGGGATAAGCCCGGTTTAGGAAAAAGCCTGCGGGTGGGGTGCAGCAAAAAATGCAAAAATCGTCCCAAAAATCCGATAATATCCCATGGGAAGAGGCTTTGGGAGCGAGGGAAATGCGGGAATTCTGTCCCAAAAATGGGGTTTTGTGCCTTTTACGCACCGGGAATTCCCAGGGAAGATTTGATTGGAATGGGATTGCCTTGGTCGTTTGTGTTAAGTCAGGCTTTCGTGTCTTAAATCAGGCTTAACCTCCTGTTTCTCTTCATGCCTTAAACCAGCCTACCTTCAGGTTTCATTCTGGATGTGTATTAGAGCAGGCTTCCTTTCATCCTTCTCTTTTAGAGCTCTATTAAGCCAAGTTTAACCTCATCTGTCTCTTTCCGATTTTTCTTAAGTAAGGTTGAACCTCCTGGTTCTCATTTAGACCTGTCTTAACCCCTTGCTAAATCAGGCTTGACCTCAGATTTCTTTTTTAAATCGGTATTAAATCAGGCTTAACTTTCACTTTCTCTTGTAGACCCGTATTAAGTCAGATTTAACCTCCTATTTCTTTTTTAAATCTGCCTTAAACCAGGCTTGACCTCTCTGTTTCAAGCTCTCCTAAACCAGTTTTAACCTCCCATTCCTCTTCTTGTCCTGCCTCAAGCCCTTATTTCCACTTTAAACCTCAACTAAATCCCTTTTTATGCTCTGTTCCCCCCAAACCCGCCACGATTTCAATCCCTCCTTCCCCGGAGCCCGTTTTTTTTGTGTACCCGTGGCAAATTCCCGGGGAATTTGGGTTTTTCCTGGAATTCCGGCCCCGCGAAGAGCCCGGAATTGCCGATTCCCGCTGCTGCCGGACTCGCTGGTCCTCTGTGGGCATCTTACTAGACAGTGCTGGATTTGCTGCCTCTACTCTAACACTGTCTGGTAACGATGTTTAAAGGGTGATCCAAACCGCTCCGGCCCGAAATTCCAGCCAGGCCGGGATTCTCCGGGATTTGCCGGCATTTTCCACAGGGTAAGGATGGAGCTGGGGACAACGGGGAGGGCCCAGCCAGGGAAAATAGAAATCAAAATCAAAATATTCCCTGGGAATTGGTGGAGGCGATGCTGGGTATTAGACTGGGTCTAACGTCCCAAATCCAGAATTTTCCCATCACAATTCCAGGGTTTTTCCCATCCCAAATCCAGGGGTTTTTCCAGAATTTCTGGGATTTTCCACAGGGTACAGATGGATTTGGGGACAATGAGGAGGGCCCAGCCAGGGAAAATTGGAACTGGAATCAAAATATTCCCTGGGAATTTCCATCCCAAAATTCCTTCTGATTCCCATTTTCCATCCCCAAATTCCTCCTGATTCCCATTTGCCATGCCAAAATTCCCCCCAGTTCCTTTCTGGCAGTTCCCACATTCTGGAGCCCGGAACTTTCTGTGGCATTCCAAGGATTTGTTCTGGGATTAAATCTGGGATTAAATCCCAGCCCCATGAGCTTTTCCCTTCCCTCACTCCAAATTCCAAATTAAGCTGGGTCTAGCGACACAAAAATGTTGGGAATTAAAGGATTTTCCAAATCCCTCCCAACCCAAACCAGTCTGGAATTCTTTTCCCTCATCCCTGAAAAACTTCAACCCCTTTCCCTGCTAAAGCCAGTGGATAATCAAGGGAAAATGGAATTAATTGCTCTGTAATTAAAACTAAAAATGGCTCATCCTTAAAAATATCCCAAATTAAAATGATAATTCCAAAAGAATTCCCCCAATGTGGAGAGCTCGGGAGGAGCTGCCCCACATCTGCCTGGAGCGAGCCTGGGAGGATGAAATTCCCAGGAAAAGGAGGAAGCAGAGTGGGGATTAATTAAAACTCGGTGATTAATTAAGGCTTGGTGTTAATGAGTGACTACTCCAGGAGGCCCGGGAGGAAATGGGGGAGGAATTCTGGGAATTGGACTGGAACAAGGCCATAAATCCCTGGAATTGGGCCCATTCCCCCCCCCATAATTCCCTGGAATTGGGGCCCATCTTTTGGTTGGAAGTAAAGCTGATCTTTAGATGGAAATAAAGCTGAGATTTGGGTGGAAATTGAGCCCAGCTTTGGGTGGAATAAAGCCGAGCTTTGGTGGAATTCCGTGGCTTTTTTTGGGGTGTTTTTCCCATTCCCAGATCCAGATCTCTGCTCCTGGAGGGAGGAATTTCAATTCCCCAAAACCAGGATTTTATTATTCCCTTTTTTTCCTTTCCCAGTCGTTGTCCAGGGGAACATTCCCAGAACTCCCAGCCCAAAATCCAGGGATCATCCAGGAGAGGTTGAAATCCATGGGCAATTCCTCTGAAATTCCGGGAATTTCTACAGATTTCCAGGAGCAGCCGTCCTGGATTATCCACAATTATCCATAATTATCAATAAGATGTTGGCACTGCCATCTCCACAGGGGGTCAGCCCAAAAAACTTCCCAAACCTGCTGGAATTCCATTAAAAATCTTGGAATATCCAAAGCGGGAAGGGCCCCAGAGGGATCAGAAGTGCCCAAATCCCACCTCAGAGCCTTCTCCAGGATTTTTGCCCGTTCCCTTCATTTTCCCAGAGCTCTGAGCATTCCCTGGATGAGCTTCCCTCCCTTTTTCCCCCGATTTTCCTCGGAAGGAAAATCCCTGCTGGCACAGCAGGAGCTTCCCAAGGGAATCTTGGGGTGGGAGCAGGAATGGGGTTGGGAGAGGCTGGGATGGGGTCGGGAATGACCCAAGCGGGGCTGCTGGAAAATCCAGGGAAAAGCAGGAATGTGGGAAAAGCAGGAACATGGGAAAAGCAAATGTGGGAAAAGGAAACGTGGGAAAAACAGGAAATCTGGGAAAAGGAGATGTGGGGAAAGCAGGAATGTGGGAAAAGGAGCTGTGGAAAAGCAAATGTGGGAAAAGCAGGAAGGCGGGAAATCTGGAGATTTGGGAATTCAGGAGCTCTGGGAAAAGAAAATGTGAGAAATCAGGAGCTGTGGGAAATTCAGGAAATGTGGGAATTCAGGAGTTGTGCTCACCACTCCCACTCCTGGAAATCAGGATATCCCAGGAAATCCCTGCTCCCGTCCTCCTGCAGCAACACCAGCAGGATTTATCCCGAAATCCCAGCTTTGTTTAGAGAAAACCAAATCCAGGGGCGTTCCTCGGGAGGAACGCCGCCGCCCCATCCGTGGTTTTTTGGGAATTCCAGCCCCGCATTACCGGCGATCCCGGAGCCGCTATCGGAGCTCGCTATAGATCTTCAGGGAGAGGATGGAAAGCTTTTCCTGGGATTTGTCACCGTGCTCCTCCTCCGGGAATTGGATGCTGTAGGATTCCTCCCCCTGGGGCCGCAGGAACGTGGGGTCGGGATCGGCGTCTGGGAATGAGGAAAACTCAGGAAAACTCAGCCGGGAATTCCAGGAATTCCGGCCAGAGGGTGGGGAAACCCCCCTTCCCCCCCCACCACCCCAGGCTGTGGGATTTAGGGATGATCCCGTTCTGCCCCATCCCAATTCCCACCATTCCAGCGAGCTCCAAGGATAATTCCAGGGGTCCAGAACCACTCTGGGAAAGCCATTCCAGGAATTCCATCCCAAATCCCACTGCACCCTGCCCTGGGCCAGGAATGTGGGCCGGGATGTGATCCCAGGAACCTGCCCCAAATCCCGCAGGAAATCCGGATTGATCCCACCGATCCCCTCCTTTATCCCACTCAGATTTTATCCCATCATTCCCAGACTTCATCCCATCATTCCCAGATTTTATCCCATCCACTCCCAGATTTTATCCCATCCATTCCCAGACTTTATTCCATCCACTCCCAGATTTTATCCCATCCACTCCCAGATTTTATCCCACCCACTCCCAGATTTTATCCCACCCACTCCCAGATTTTATCCCACCCACTCCCAGATTTTTCCCAACCAATCTCGGATTTTTCCCCAGCCATTGCCGGATTGTATCCCGTCCATGCCCAGGTTTCTCCCGCCCAGCTCCTGTGTTTCTCCCATCCAATCCCGGATTTTTTATGCCAGCCATGCCCAGGTTTCTCCCGCCCAGCTC